GAAGAAACATTCCTCACCGGTATCAACAAGTGTCCATGCTGTCGGGTGCGACGAACATACAATATGTTTACCGTCTCAGCATTCACAGATAATTTGGATAATTTTGATCAACAGATTTTGAACCGCCAATTGTTTGCAACCATCTAACGACCTATTGATCGCTAGACACAATTTAGATACAACGTTATAATGTTCCACAATGACTTATCCTCCACTTTATGTCTAATACACCGAACAGTGGTTAGATCCTAAAACATTCACGGACAAAGACACACGCTCGAAAAATTATAAGCATTATGACAATGTGATATTATATTAATGTATAAGTATTGTTGTAGTATTAAGAACCGTAATAATTAATGCGTAGTTAGGTTAGGTTAGTTTTCGTGACATTAGGTACAATTTGTCTGAGGCCCACAAGTTACAATAGTGACCCTAGCAGCCATTCAAGACAAATACCGAGGATACTTTTACAATTTTTTCATTTTCACCTTAAAATCGCCTTTAAATTTATCTTCTTTACATCCAGAACCATATAAACATCTTGTTATTTATATACTTTTATCTATAATAACTGACCGCCCGCTCCGTCGCCCCGGTGCTCCGCCGATCAACTTTTTATTTACAAATGGTTAAATGCTCCTAAAAGTTTAATATCCGACACTAGTCTTAAAATTAAATACAAAAAACGCATGACATTCTAAATTTACCTAACTTGCCATTTTGTCATCGCTATAATTTATGAAATTTTGATCTTTACACCAACTTTAGAAATATTCAATACAAAAATACTCTTTTTGAATAAAATTTTATACACGACTCATTATATCGCCGGCGCAAGCCGGAGGCGGCGGGGTGGGCGCCAAAAAAGAAAAGCTTTGAGCCTCGTAACCTTAACATCATGAAATTTGTACTAAAATATCAAAACAAGTGGACGCGGGCCTTTATCACTTAGCCAAAATGCGAGGATGCCGAAAAAGTGCCTAAGACTAGACTGCGACCTGAATCTTCTGCCCACTGCTCAAGCTACAATCGCGAGCTTCGCACAGTGGCTCGGATAAGCCTGTGTCGTTGACAAAAGATTCAAGTTGCTCAACTAAAATAATTTCGTTTATGATTAATTTTGTAACTAATTTTATCGTAGTCCGCGTCCACTCGCCATAGTTTCCAAATATAATATTAATATGAATGATGGTGCCACAATAATGGACTGCAGCTCACCAAAAACAAAAGCAAATTAATACATCGATTACACACATGATCACAAAAAAAAACGTGTATCGCTGTTACGAATGAAGACCACAAGGATTATATTTAAAATACTTTTTTAACTCTAAAGGTTACTTTTGAATACAAAATACGTTTTTGCACACGATCACTTGGGACTTCTTTATTACGATTTAGTTATTCGACAACTGTTCACGTTTCTCAAAATATGGGGGTTCGTGCTTATCTTACTTAAAATTAGTGTTACCTGATAAGCGTCGGCAGTTTTTGTTTCAAGACTTCCTAATAGTATATCCGTGCTCAATTTTGACGTTTTATCAGACATTATATAAACGAATGATACTTATTTCATAACTACCTAATTTCAGCATTTCCCTTATTGAAATTTTCACGTATAGAAAAGTTGATACAGCTATTTGGTACACCTAAATGCTCTCTAACTTCCAAAAATTAAATGCTACGTACAATAGAGTCTATTACAATTTCGAAAATTTAGGAACCATAATACCCAAACGTGAAACCAAAATTCATTCTACATTATATTGTTTTCTATTATTTATAATTAATTTTGAAAATAATTACATATTTACTTCGTTTTACATGATAATCCAAACACTTTGTAGACGGATTTGAAAGTACTAAAAATGTAAAGCAAAAACAGCAAATACAATTTCGTGAAACAGAAGTAAACTATGATCTAGTTACAAAATCTTAAAACAAAGTGACTGCACCGAAAGGGCAATTTTAAATACATCTACATACATATACATACAAACGTGAGCTCTAAAGTCAACACCGAATTTTGTACTTTTTTGTGGGATAGCCCCATGATCACTGTGGACTAATATTTCGATGTTTTAAACTTGAGTCTTTACATTTAATTTAGAAAAATTGTCAACCGATAACTTACAAACAATGCAAACATCGAATTAATTTTAAATCCGGTCGATCGCTTAATATCCATTGTGGTCTCGTTGCTATTGCACAGTGAGTCACTCAAGTAAAACACCCGGACAAAAAAAATTGGAATTCTTAATAATTAAGTTACAAATTTGTGAAATTCTTTATTTAACCTTTCCTGAAAATATAGTCTGAAGCATTCGGCTCCAATTGTCAGCAACATACGGCATGTCGGTTGAATTGAACTGTTGGTGGGAAACGAATACATTGCTATTGTAAAATGTGTTGTGTAGCCTGCATTAGCATTTCTATTACATACGAAGAAATCTATGGAGAGATCGGAATAACGGACTCATTACTTACTATATAAGGAATTAATACTCGAGGAGAGTTGCCGTGTTAGAGCTAAAACATATGAGTTAAAATATTATTTTATTGAATATTGACTGATATTGACGGATTATGAAATACACTGTGTTACTACTTACTTAAATTCAATCTATTAATAAATCTCTAGCTAGAGCTCCAATCATTCACGGAATCTAATCAATTCCATTATTCAATTCAATTGTGACGTCTTACAATACTCTAACTAGAGGCATTTTCTGGATAAATACAACTATTACAGTAAAGTGGTGTCTTAGCTCTAAAACGACATTATGTATGAATGAAATTAACAACTTATGTAACAAAACATGATCGTAACATAACATGGAACGATGTTCGATCTCGAATAAGCCCTGCGGCGACTGCTTGCCTGCGAACCGTCAACGCGACGCGAGGGACGCGTATCGATAAAATGAAACCGGGCTATTGCTGTGAAGTGTGGGTTTAAACAGTAGGCCGTTTCTGCGAACGTACGACAAAAATTCACTTGACTGAGTCGCAGTCACGGAAACGAACAGGGATAATTTAGAACTTAAAACCGGCTTTCCGAAAGGGGGGAGTCTGCGTGTATATTCTATGTGTCGATGTCTCAAAAAGGTTTCTTAACTCTCTTCTCACCTAACCTGACTTCTACTCTAAGCACACCAGTCGACGCCTGGTCCATCCTAAACTGAGGTACTCTTATATTATCGTAATAGTTCAAATGGTTACAAATTAAACGATAACAAACGTGTAATATTAAATTAAAATTGCTTACACTTGCTTAGCTAGGATCGGCCATCCGCCCCGCGCGGGTATGTACTACAAAATGAGGATGGTGTAACTTTTCAAATTCTGCAAATTAATTCGTAATTTATCTTTGTTTTATTGTGTCTTACTTAAAATATTATTAGCGCTAAGATAGTCTGTATCGATTATCGTCTCTTCTGTAATAAATCTATCGTTATTATGTACATGTGGCTATACATCTCTGTACAATACTATCTATCTTATCGTGTTATACCTATAGTTTAGAAGCGAAACTATTAATAATATTATTTTGCGTTCTGTGAAACTGAGGATGTAAACTGAAGGTGTTGCCGCGTAGCGGGGGTGACGGCCGACGACTACATGTTTATAACAAATACATCGAGTTATGCGGAGCGACCGGGCTTCCTCGCAACTGGCACTAGCATTCTTTGCGGTCAGTATTAGGAATCTAAATGTCCTTAAATTTATCGATTCCGTCTTCAGCTGCGAAGAAGCTCCGAGCGCACCGCGCTACGTATATCTACGAATCAAACTAATTATTTTGCTATAGTATAATAGTAAGTGTGTATGTATACTGTTCGTTCGAACTGCGAACTGTATTGCGTGCGGGCGGGCGTGCGCGGGCGCATCGCGGTGCCTGCCGGATGCCTGTCTATTGAGAGCCGATTTGGGAAACTTCTTTTTAACGTTTCTCGTATAATATGAAGGCACTTTTGATCGGACGAGGTGGCCCAGTGCTAATATTTATTTAACAGTTGTCAAAAATAGCAGATGCTTGTTTGACTGCAGGTTTCAAGTAATCTAGTATAGATTGTAGTATTTATTGCCTTCAAGTGTCGAGCTTATGTTTTTAGGTTTCTTTTTATATTTTCTATGAGACACCGCGAAGTGCCCGCTGGCGGAGCGCGCGCGTCACCACTATGGATCTATTGCCAAAAGTTCGTGGACAAAATAAACCGTCATTTCTATTATATTTTGTATCGCGAAAAAAAAATTTAATGGTACCAGAAATTAAGCTATTTTTATATCAAAAATGTTGATTGTGAAATACAAGTTAAATGATTTTGAAAAAACAAACAGTGTGACGCTCCGCTCTCGCACAAAGGTAGCTTTAATGTGGCCCACGCATAATTTCGGAAAACAGTGGTTTATCTAACAAATAAACTTAACCCTAGGTCCGGATGGAGTCCGGACAAACTGAAGTGCGATCCGAACACTTGCCGAAATGTATACAGGTATAACATAGGATGTTTACTTGATTTTTAACTGAAGATGATTAATTGTTTTCGAATTTTGTATCTGTATCGTTATTCTATTGAAAAATCTCTGCATGAACACAAAACCGGCTATCAGTATAAAAATAATTTGTAATATCTTTGTTTGTGGATCGAAAAATAACCCTGCTCTATTGTACTAAGTACTATGGTTAACGTTAATTATTCTTAAAATAATTACGACGAGGTAAAGGTTGACAATTTTCGGCCGCAACATAGCGAGCCAAATGAATACAAGAAGAAATAACCACAATGAATAAATAAAAATAACGAGAACCAGGATAAGGAAACAAAGGAAAAATAAAATAAAAACAACATAATGTTCAAAACTTAAGCAGTTAATATATTAATCGTTTTTCCTTAAAGAATAAATCAATAAATGATTTTAAGATATACACAACTATAAAAATCATTAAAGATAATACTTAATAATAATATAATAATAATTATATATAGCGAAATATATTATGTGCAGAAATAAAATTCTAGGTGACTTAAATTTCTCTTACTCGTATAACCTAATGAATTTCCTAGTAGAGCGCGGGCTGTGGCGTGGCGAGGACCGCGCGCCCAGCCACGCCACTCGACGTCCAACGTACAAATTCAAACATTTTTTTAATAATTTAATTTAACGTTTTATTAATAATTTTGAATCTGAAGGCCTAAATGCGAGTGTCGTAAAATTTTGGTGTGCGAAACAATCGTCCAATGACTTTTCTTTGCTTTTTCATTTAATTTAACTTAGCCGAAAGTGTGTGCGTCGCGTCGATGTGGCGCTCACTCTAACTGCTCGAGGAAGTTAGGTGACTTGAAGTATTCGGGCACGGGGTCATCGAGCCGCGAGATCACCTTATAGATGGACTTCTTCCAGCTCTGCTCCACGTCCTTGCCGCCTTGGATAGCGCGGAAGAACTCACGAAGAGTCTGCTCTACAACGTATCTGAAGTTTGGTGGAACCTAAAAAATAAGCAAATGAGTGTTTGTGTAAATGAGCTCATTTTAACAATAATTAAGTTATAACATTTATAGTACGTAACGTCACGTTACACGTAATTATAATACTTTTTCCATGATTAAATTTCAACTTATAGTTAGCTTATATCTCACTGCAAGGGCTCGGCTTTCCCTTATCCACCTATTCGGAGTCTATCGCGGCTTCGAAATCTTTCAGGCACTCATTGCAAAGTCTTTTGGCTTACTTTTATGAGTCCAACAGCTTGACATGTTTGCTGTTATATTCCTATGTTATCCATTTTTGTATAGGAGTGCATCATATTATTGGGTATTACGTCAATACCCGTAGTATTTTGCGGTTCTTATGAAGCTCTCAGACGAAGTTAGATTAATGAAAGACACTTACCTCAATATGGTTATTTCTGTTGTAATGCAAATTGAGCACCCTGTATAGCTCAGAGTCACCAGCTACATGCAAATCCTCGGCCGTCTTCAGGCCCTCACTGAGAGCTTGCCGCGCATACTTCTCCATCTGAATGTAGTAGAACTCTCTGGAATAGACAAAGTAACTATTAAATATTAGATCATGATTTCTTGATTTTTATTTTTTCTAAATGGATAAGGAATTAGCTGCTGTATGAAGTATAGCGTGTAATACTGTGGTTAAGCCCATCAAAGGGATTGCAATAGATGGGTTATAAATCTGACTACTATTAATTCGTTTTATTTGAATAATAAATATAAAAAAAATTGGAGCTGAAAATTGTCCGCTAACAATTGACGACGAACGGAAAATCGAAGCCTAATGACGAAATCTGTCTGTTATACAAAAAGAGAAGTACAGAATGTTGGTTTTCGTCAAGTAGGCATACAGTGTGACACTTCACAGCAGAATGGGAATAAAAACCACTCGAATACCGTCGAGAGCAGGAAAGGATTTGATTAGCCATTTTCGCTCACTCCGGTTGGAGCACCGCTATCTTCGCCTCGGTTCGTTCACGAGAGCGATGAGCGAATCGAGAGTCTCGCGAGGCTAATTACTTACGAATTTGCATTCAGACTGGCTAATTTGGTTTTTTATGGCTGCGCCAGTGATGTGTCTTTTAGGTTAGTTTGTTGCATCTTTAATTTAATTTTTGTATTTGATTTCTTATACTCTTTCTACTTTTCTTCATTTTCAAAACAGGCAAACAAATATTACTGAAATATGAACAAAATTTGTAGAATAAAATTGTTTCCAAATATTAAGTCATTTCACCACAAAACCACTATATAGCGCATGAAATTTTTCGTTGTATCCGATAGAAATGCAAATGCTTTATGTTCTATACCAAACTATGGTTAAGATTAAAATATTTTATAACGTTTTAACAGTGTGAAAGAAATAAAATTAGATACGTGCCACTAGCCAGTTAGACCTAGACGTCAGTCTAGGTTCATCTCTCGTCTCTAATGCACTTGAGGGAAACAATTCCACCATTTCACTCGCACACTGGGGGTTTCTATTATTTTTTAATTGGCACTCGGCATGAGTTTGCAGCGTTACTAATTGAGTAAGTAAATGAAGTGTCTAAATAATTAGATGTCTTTTTGACTGACGCGAGCAGTGGCACGGCCCACGGTGCTTTGATGCATATTAGCAAGCTGTGTTGATTATTCACTTCGATTAAATTGTTCAGATGGATTTTTTATTACTAACGTTTTTAAAGATAGTTTATAAATAACCGAACTCGAGACGTGTTAACGGCTGAACCACTGAGGTTATCTCATTGTCGGTCGTTGGTTGTTGGTCGTTGTAATATTTAGCACTTCTCATATATTATACCATTTATCATATGTTTTTTAACCATTTCCCGTTGGGGTAGGCTGATATACTATTAAAATATGCTTATTAAATATATATAATGCAGTGGTCATTTAAGGGACCTTCAGTCATTTATTGAATTAATGTCGTATATAATAAATACTATAATACATAGTATTGTAAGTATCCTTTAAATGTCTACAGATTTTATGTTACTATGACATAATTAACCAACTAAACAACTAAATTTCACTAACACCCTTACGAACCGGAATGCAGTAATGCTCACATTACTGCTTGGCGGCAGAAATAGGTAAGGTGGCAATAATTTCCTGGACGAGCTCTTTTCACAAGGAGCTTTACAGCTACTAAAATACATACAGGTTACATCACGGTGTATTCCTTCATTGTGCTGAGCATTAAAAAAATCTACGTTATTTATAATTACAGCCACAGCTTACCGCCACAGAGATTCTACCCGTCAAACCCTTAATTTAAAAGACACCTCTATCTCACTGTTTGTATTTAAGGCACGAGACCATATCTAACGGATTTTGAAAAATCATTATGAAAAAGAAAGAATTCTTTACATGAAAAAGTTGCTTCTGTATAGTTACGGGACGTACTGCCTTACCTATTTCTGCTGCCAAGCAGTAATGTCAGCATTTTTTTTGTTGGGTTTTGAAGGGTAAGGGTGCTGGTGAAATTACAGGCACATGGGACCTGTCGACTTATGTCTCAGGGTGACGGGCGCAGTGGCAGTGCTCCTCAGATCTTTGTGATTCAAAACTCTGAGTGGCACTGCAATTGTTATGGACAGGCGTGTAGCTTACCATCAGACGCACGACTTGTTCGTCTCGTCACTTGATATTATAAAAAAAAATCGCTACAGAGAAAGAGAGAGACTTTATTACTCATGGAATTTGTCACAGTTTTATAGGTAATTAATATTAAGTGGCCAATGAGCAAGTATCTTCAGATGGTGTCCATTATAATATATTTTTATTAGAATATGAATGTTTTGATAAACATATGCTTTACACTCGTCTGTTTCAAGTGTCGACTGTATCGAAATACGTCATAGATATTGTATAGTCGTTAGATTACTGGAACACTGTTTTCAGAGTATTAAAAAAAAGTAAAAATATAAAAATATCGAATATACAAATTAAAAAAACCAAATAAAAAAATAGAGACGTTAAAGTTTAAAATGACGTGCTTTACGCGGGTATTATTTTAGTTTTGAAAATCGAACACCATAATGAAAATGGTGGGAGTTTTAAAAATGGCCACCATAAAGATGTAACGATTTGCCGCCGAAAGCAGAAAATTAAATTAGTGAGAAAAATTACAATCAAATCTGGCAGTATAGCCTGTCCCGAAGCACGAGAAAATTTGACTACTTAAAATGGCAGGTAGGTACTTTTTCACACATATTTTCTTAGCCAATATTCTGTGAAATCGCGTCGATAAGATCATGCACGTAACTATGGCGGTATTTGTAAGCAGCTAACGTGCCTACGTGGTCCGCCAGTATTGAGAACATGCGGGCTGCGATGCCTAAACTGTATTGTGTAAGAAACTAGGTGAAAATACTGTAAATTTAATATGTAGGTAGGTACTAAAAGTTGAGGTCTTAAGACAAAGCGATTCTACATATTGGAAATGAAACTATTATTTCCGGTATAAATCATTGCCAAGTCATGGTCACCTGGTTTGTTTAAAAAAACAAATATACGCTTTATAAGTAAAGAGCCTCCTCGCAGAATGTACTATTACCTACTTTAGTGCGTAAGAAGAAGAATATACGCGATTTAAATCCGACCAAATATATAATTTCATTTCCAATATACTACAAGGATTGTCTTCATTGCTTTAAGGAATAAGAACACAGAAAGGATTAGGACTTTTAGGATTTCATTTTGAATTATAAGTACTACCCACGACACTACTATAAGAAACTATGATTTTTTAAATTCACGTGGTAGAAAACCGTTACATTCAAACTCAGCTGTTGTTAACCTTTAGTGATTGTTCTCGTTCACCTTAACGTACTGGTATTTTCGCAAACAATAAATTTAAACCAGTTTTATTTGAAACTTTTAGTAGTTAACTTAAGATACACTTTGCAATAGAAGATGAGAGGTCAAAACTTTGGTGAATAAAATTCACAACGGCTTTTTGAACAGGTAATGTTTGTTTTCTATTCAATTTTAAACTTTAAGCGCATGTACTAAAGTTTAAGAAGTAAAAGCGGATAGTGTTATTGTTAAGAATTTCTTAAGACATCACATCTTGCCTCTACCTGGAATCGAAACGTCTTGGATTTCATTGTTTGCATTAAAAAAAAAGAAAGCAAAACTTCGTAAATGAAACAGAATTAAAATTCGAAGGAAGCAGCCTTCTTTCTTAACGAGCAGCAGTATTGAAAGACTTTTAAAAGTGGAACTGGCTGGCGCAAAGAAATTTGCTATAAATAGGAATGTTTACAGTTTCAAATTGGAACAATGGAATATTTTTATAACTCCGATATTTATAGATAGAGTTGCTTTTTGTCTAGATTTACGTATTTTAACACAACAACAACTATTACTCACTACTAGTGGAAATATATTTTTATCTGATGAAGCCTGTTGGAGATTTATATTTGTGTCTACCTGACGAAGACGTTGCGGTTTGGTATTTGTAATTAATTTAGTTTTTAATGAATATTTTTTTTATTTAGTATAGATAAATAATAGGTATACATTTATTGATTATTATTTTATAATAATAATAACGCATACACTCAACATAGCCCCGGACTAGGGAAATCCTGTGTCGCAGGTGCCATGGACACACACATAGATAACCACAAATCACACCTAAATTCACGGGAGAAATAAATGTAGGCCATACATATATTTCTCCCGGCCCGGGAATCGAACCCCGGACCTCTGTAACCGTAACCGTACTGCCACGGAGGCAGTTAGTATATTAAATAATGGGATTAATTCGTACCTCAACGATTAACTTATAAGATTAGCTTTACTTTACCTATTTCTGCTGCCAAACAATAATGTGAGCATTACTGCGTTCCGGTTTTGAAGGGTAAGGGTGCTGCTGAAATTACACGTACGTGAGACTTGTCAACTTATGTTTCAGGGTGAAGGGCGAAGTGGCAGTGCCCCACAGATCTTTGCGATTTCAAGTTCTGAGTGGCACTGTAATTGCTACGGACAGGCGTGTCGCTTATCACCACCATAAAAAAGTACTTATAAGACGCTATAAATTCAACACAATTTTCGAACCACATAATAGTTTCTCACAACGACCAAAATCTCACATTAACACTACCAATATGAGGGTAAGAAATACTAGCCGTCTTCGCTAGCGTTCCCCTTCAAGAAACGATTCGATTTCCCGTGTGAAACAAACTTAAACGATGTACCGTAGTGTTAAGGATTTATAGAATTGTATACGAAATTTACTGTAAAACTATATATAACAAAATTTTCCTATAATGTTTTGTCACTTCTTTTAATGTTATTCAGTACTATAACCAATCTTTAGGTATCTATATATATAAAGTAAAACTGTAGTGCACGGTTTTGTTCTAAGGGATGCTAAGGGTGCTAGCTTTTCAATTAGTTGATCTAAAAGATAGATTTTTTATGATACGAAACGATGGAACGTACAAGTCGCGCATCTGGTTGCAAGCGACACACAGTGCCACTCAGAGCTTTAAATAGCAAAGATCTGAGAAGC